TTATCACTATTTTGACAACAAAACCAATAAATTTTCTGAATATAAGACAACGATCATTTATAATGGAAATACACAATAATTTACCAACGTGCACTCTAATTTGTGCATGAAAGCTGAAAAATATCAGAAATTTGGAAGAAAAACAAGCGGACTTCAACGAAGACTGGGCCGGGCGTTAGCCTCAAATGATGGGGTTTCTCTGACGTTACTTGTTTTGGTGTCCCAACTTGCCCGTTGGGGTTCGGGGTTGGGATTTTAAAAAGGCTTGAAAAACCATGAAGGTGAATGACACATGGAAGGCTAATTCTACCCCTGGAGACACAAACCTTACCAAGACGCTCACATATCATGATTCTTTATCTCTAAGCTAATATGAGGCAAAGGATCGCAATTTTGCTGACTCATTATTACCGCGCACATCTCTTGACGCTTTATTATTTCCGCTTCAATTTTTAATTTAGTGCTTGCTGCCTCAAAAAAAGATAATTATGGGAAGAGATCGCTGGGGTGGTAGTGTTATTGCAATGAACCGTTCTTGAGAATTCTGTTAAGGAACATAAAGCTGATATTATTGTAAATTTGGAAGAAGTTGATACCAAGCTTCTGAATTTAAAATTTCGTGTGCGAATTTTGAACTTTGATTTTTGTTAAAAATTTGTTCACGAATTTATAATCAAACACAACGTCTGAGTAAATAAATAAATTTTCAACTTTTATTCGAGCGTGAATTCACTTTCGAAAACGAGAAAATTTGTGCCATAAATTTTTTTACACGCAGAATCCAAATTTCCCATTCCTGATTTCTTTTTAATAATGTTATCAATAATTACTTATCAAAATGTTTCTATATGTGACATTAATTTTGAAAAAATACATTGAAAATTGTAATTAGTAATTTATATTTGTCGTTATTGATTTCGTTCATGAAATTTTGTTTTGTATGACATACATTTTATAATTGCAGCGCGTGTGACACGCACGTTTGCAAAAACGGCCTCGGAAAAGGGTGTGATTTCAGCACGTTTCTGTTGCTAAGGGCATTGTTTGTCTCGTAATTATAAGGGCTAACTTTCTAAGGTTCATAAACGGTGAGAAGTTCACGGAACTAAAGTCACGGTCTGAACGATGGAGTCGACTTAATGTTAACTATTTAGCAACCATTAGAACTTATATAAGGGAAAGCTTCAGTTTCAACTTTTCCTCTATAATCATTCAATGGTTTGAATATTAATTTACGCGAGTAATCTTCCTGTATGTACGTAAAATAGGACTGCGAATGATACTGTATTGAGAACATGAATGATGCTGCATCCTTTTTCTCATTATATCCAAGAATATTTGGATATATTCGTAGACGTGAGTGACATGGGTATGAACACATGCGTGGACATGAGTGACATGGGCATGAACACATGCGTGGACATGAGTGACATGGGCATGAATACATGCGTGGACATGAGTAATATGGGTATGAAGACATGCGTAAAAAGAAAGCATGATGTACATGTACATAAGTGTAGACGTGGAGCGACTTGCGTAGGAAGATATTCGTACTCGGGAGCGACATATGCATGAAGATGCGCGTAGACAAGCAGCGACATGCGCATGAAACATGCATGGGGAAATGAGCACCGAGAAGAGGCCTCCAAATAAGTATGCAGCGTTTTTTGTCGTTGCATTTGTAGGCACAGCAAACAGTTCGTGCATTTCACGTCCTCCCGATTCTTACCCCTCAGCTACCGGGTAGATTTCCGTATTGATTCGCACTAATGAAAAACACACATCTTAAAATTCCGAAATGGGAATTTGTTGAAATTAATAGTAATGCAATTAAGAGAAATAATTACTTTGGTCAGTGCTTCGATATTAGGTTACGAAAAGATGATATTCTATTTTGAGAAGCCGAATTTATTTCTCTCTATTGGAGCTTTACCCCTCGCACCAGAAAATTTGTTTTGATCTCGCGCTTTTGTCTAGGAGTTTTACCATGCACCTGCACCAGAAATGCTTGTTTTTGCCCCACGCTTCTATCTAGGAGTTTTTGTCAATTGGATTTGAAACTCTTGTTTCGACCATATGCTTCTGTCTTGTTGATTTACCAATTTCATTAGAAACGTTCGTTTCGACCCCATAATTCTGTCTAGGAACTTTACTTCTCGCACTAGAAACGTTTTTTCGACCCCGTGCTTCTGTCTTGGAGCTTTACCACTAGCACTAGCAACGCTTGTTTTGACCTTACGCGTCTGTCTAGGAACTTTAAATTTGCACTAGAAACGCCTATTTTGACCCTATGCTTCTGTCTAGGGGCTTTAAACTCGCACTAGAAACGCTTATTTTGACCCTACGCTTCTGTCTGGGAGCTTTACCACTCGCACCAGAAACGCTTGTTTCGACCACAGACAATTACTTTCTCAGCCGCGGGCAATGCGTTCCCAAAACACTGTTCTAAATTTGAGTAATGCCGTACGCCGGGAACAATGAAGAATGACTAGCAGGTTAACCCGGCAGTTCTATAGTGCAGGTTGTGAGAGGTCGTTGAGGCAGTTTAACGTCGCATTGCACGGTGTAACCCTGCGCGGCGCGAGGAGTTGTGTGATAAATTGTATACAATAAATGGGTTGGTTCTCTGACTTGGTTGCTCCGGAAGACGTGTCGTAAATAATGTGTAATATGCTGGTAGGATAACCTGGCGTTGCTCCGAAGAAAGTATGAGCTAAATATTACGTTAAATTAATAAACACGTTAACTGAACGTTGCTACAGAGGAAGTGTGGTTCTAATAGTTATACTAGCAGGATGACCTGGCGTTGCTTGGAAGGAAGTATGAGATGAATATTGCGCTATATTAACAGGTTAAATGATCGATGCTACGGAGGGAGTGTACGTGGTTCTTATAGGTTATACTAGCAGGATAACCTGCCGTTGCTGCGAAGGAAGAATGAGCTAAATATTGCGTTATATTAACAGGTTAACTGAGCATTGCTACAGAGGAAGTGTGGTTCTAATATGTTATACTAGCAGGATAACCTGGCGTTGCTTGGAAGTAATATGAGGTAAATACTCATATTTCGTTAAATTGTCAGGTTAATCGAGTGTTGCTACGATGGAAGAGTGTGGTAAATTTAAGGTTATGCTGGCAAGTTAATCCGGTGTTATTATAAAGGAATAAGAGGTCAATATTGCTTTAAATTAGCGTTGCTTCGACGGAAGTTTGGGATGAAAAGTCCGTTATGTTGGCAGGTTAACCCAGCGTAACAGGGCAACCTTGCTTTGCTTTAGGATTTTGTTCTGGGATTTAATTTTTGGTCACAGCGAACAGTAAACTACGGCAATATAAATAACTTTCATGTATTTTATCGAATTTTAGTGCGATTGATATCGAGCAGTGACGCCCTAAAACCTCTACATATGTTTATGCAAACCTTCAGACGAATAAAAAACTACCTGAAAATATGCCTTCCTGAAATACAACATAGACTTCTAGGAAATGCGAAATTAGTTTTGTCACCTTGTATTCTTTAACATCATAACCAAATATAATGCTTATCAATGCACGAGAAATAATTGAACTACGACATGCTGTTAGAGATCCTAAACTTGTTGTTCATCCTTCTGTTGAAATTTGTTCCCGAATCTCAGCTACAGCTGTAAATTTTTATAAAAGTTCAACCTAGAAATGTAAACTATGCAACTTATATGAAACATTGCATTAAACATTCCAAAAGATTTCTATAAAAAAAACTGATGCGATATGCCGTTCTTTCATAAAATACAGTTGCAAATGCAAGTAATAAGTAATCGATGTTCGACAAGCGGGAGACATGGTAATCATTATGCACTACTAGACCGATGATTCTTTGTTGTTAGATAATGGCTGAGATTTGTTGATAGATGAATAATGACTGTACGATGTAGGTTGAGTTCTACGTTCACCGGAAGTCCGTCACAAAACTGCTACTTTGGACAACCGCAGGTAATGGCGCTCGCCCGTCATTATTTCATAAAATTCCCACGAAACAATGATATTCGAATCTGCATCCGTTCTCTGATTCATAATAAACATGCGCTGTGAATCATGTGACGAAAACATTGTATGGAATCGAGGAGCTTAACTTTAAATTATTCGTGAGATTAAAAAGCAAGAACTTGCCAGAAATGATATAATTTTTGACACAAATCAGCATGAACAACTTTTCAGTTATCAGTAGATTTTTCGCAATGTATATACAACTTTGAGAATGATTGACCGCCGCAGCTAGGAATTTACGAGGAATTTTTCACGCCAATTTTTTATGAATTTCACCAATTTTATTTTTTAAATTTGAAACCAAAGATCAGAGTACCGAAGCCTCTGTTGAAAATGCGTGGCAATGCTTATCAGCAGATAAAAATACGAGTTAAGACTGGAAAAAACGAATTTGAACTCTAGTGCCTTTCCGGTGTAGATTGACGATGCATGACCTAAAAAAGATAATAAAATAGAACGGTTATGTTGTAACCAAAAATTTTTGTACTTTCCCAAATGATTATTTTTGTACTGTATTTGAAAAAAATTATTTTCGTTGCTTAAAGGATTGGCACATTTGGAAATTTTTTCTAAAAATTGAATTAAAATTTTTAACATATTTGAAAGCTAAACCCATAAGTGTGAAAAATAAAGAATCATAAAAGTAATAACTTCATAAACGCCAAGAATGGCATATTTTTGCTGGAATAATATGTCATATATGCCTTATCTGATTAATATCCCTGGAAAAGATATCACAGTGAAAATAAGAATACATAAAAGAGACAAAAAAAGGAAGCGCTATGATGCTGATTGAAAGAAATTTAAAACTTCTTTGTTAATAATATAATTATCGCCTGTTGTTAATAATAATTATAATTTTATATTTTAGTATTAATTTTTCATCATATTGCATAATAATGAGAAAATGAACTTATCTTTTAATTTATTGAATTTATAAATAAATAATCATAATGAACTCTTTTCCAACAGATTTCAATTTTATTATCAATTAAACTAAAACATACATAAAATGGGCCGCCTTAAATCTTCGGCCGATATCCTAGGCACTCAGGAGATCAAAACTGTAGGCCTATGGAAGGCTTTGGCGGCCGAATTTTTGGGCACTCTGATCCTGGTGCTGTTCGGCTGCGCCTCGACCCTCGACGAGAAAACAGACATCGTTAGAGTCTCACTCACCTTCGGCTTCACACTTGCATGTCTTATTCAGGTGAGTATCACCACGTGCTTCACACTCGCATGTCTTATTCAGGTGAGTATCACCACGAGCTTCACACTTGCATGTCTTATTCAGGTGAGTATCACCACGAGCTTCACACTCGCATGTCTTATTCAGGTGAGTTTCACTCACAAGTTTTCAGCCACATGCACTCAAAAAAATAAATGTGTCGTAAATTGTCCAACTACTGATAAATTTTCGCACTCACAACAGGAGCAGAGAGCGGACGTGGCACTGATAAGATTTTTTTTGACGGGCGAAACTTTGTCTGGGTGACCCATTCGCAGTGTATAGCTATTTGGACAAAGTATTGTTAAATTTTCTGACTGCAGGTTGAATATATAACTAATTCTAAATGAAACTTATCGTATTTTGTATGCTGTTGCGAGTATATATAGACTGAGCTTATATATACATATTCTCTATGAATAAATTCCTCTCAAGTCTATTTGTTCATTGTTTTAGTAATTTTACAGATAGCAATGTTTTATATTATATTCATTTAATAATACTGTGCTTTTTACAAAAAAATGTACACTATAAAGTTCACTATATGATTCATCATTTTATAAAGGAAATCATCTCTTAACACCGAGTATAAGAATCAATCACTAATTTCCTTAATTCTAAGGCAATTCTCGGATGTATTCCTTCACACATCCGAGCAAAACAATTTCTTGTTGTTAATTGGCTTGAAACATCCATATTTTGATATAATTATTGGAAAATAATTTATGCCCTTAGACATGATTATTAGAGCAGAATTATTTATTAAGCCCTTTGACAGGCTAACGTTATTATCTAAAACGTAATGCATGCTGCAAGCATCAGCTGCATAGGATGATTAAAAAAAATATGGCTCTTTGTTCAGGGGATTTTTCCGAAAAAAAAACTCGTAAATGATCGTAATGGTTTCTGAAAACAAAGAATGAACAATTTGAACACAAAGTTGAGGGTAGTCGAAATTATGAACAACATAGAGAACATGATTAAAGTGAACAAATAATGAAATGATCATAACGTAAGTAAATATTAACGTACCAAATTGCTGAACAATCTAGGGCGAGTTCAGATTAGAGGCTGAGTTTTGCCTAAGCTCGTCCACTCTGGTCCTACTTAACAGGTCCAAAGCTTATTTGCAGGGGAGAAGTATGCTCCGTAACAGATTCTTTGCAATTATAAAAATTATTAACAGATGCATTATATTTATATAAATTTATTTAAAGCTCTTCAGGTACTAGCACCTGTCACGGTTCAGAATGTTAATCTGACAAGCAGAGATTACGAATACATGCACTAGAGGCAGAGGGTTAATGAAGTTCTATTAAGTTCAAGTTGTGGCAGAAATTTCACGTAAATATTAAAAACAAGCTTGATTCTCTCTTCCATAAACTTAATCGCTATTTAATGTTATATTGTAGGACGAAAAATGCATAAATTTATATGTTTCTGTGAGGTATATAAAAAAACCTGCAGTTGATAACTGATCGTCAATATGTCAGTACTCTTCAAAGGCTGAAGGCTCTGTATAATTAATTAGCTTGCTTCCTGAATAAATATTATGTTTACCGTCCGTAAAGAGGCCCGCGAAGTATATACTGGTTTGAGACGTCGTCGCTAGAAACCTGAGGTGCCGCCCCAGGCAGATAACATTGCAGGCTCGACGTTGCAATTTCCTGCGTTGCTTCGTCGCGTTACGTACGTACAAAAGCAGGTAAAGGTTTAAAGGGTTTAAGCTTTTCCAAGAATTCCAGACAGAGAAGGAAAAAAACTGACTTGGGATCGTGGTCCATGATGGGAAACTCCCGGATGGATAGCATTACGATGGTTTAGAAGTGTGGCTTGATTTTACAGTTCATTTGGAGAACATACATCGATGAGTCATCGATCGTACGATCGAGCGATAAAAACATAAATGGGGACTTAAATAATGTTAGACCAAAATGATTGAAAAAAGACGGAAATATGAAAAAATAAATAATTGTTTGATTAGGGAATGAACATATTGAGCCCTATTTTGAGCCAAACATCCAAAAAGAATTATCATAAGATTGTAAATTCGAATCTCTGTTGAGGAGCCCATTTGATGATCTTGAAGCTGCTACACGTTAGGAACTAAAAAAAACTGCCAACAGGTCTAAGAAATTGATGAAGTTCAATGAACTGAGAAAAATTTGTTCGTCATCCCTACAAAAGAAACAGCAGAGTAATGATGTATGATGATTGTATATGCGAGGCAAATGTATCACTAACAATGAAGGCTAAAGCTGATGAATTTAAATGGAAAAGACATCATAACGTTAAAGATGGTAAGTGTAGATGCGTATAAAGAAGACAAAGATGAAAGGTTGTGAAAGACTTAATTTTCACCAATTATTGATCTTGTTCATAGTAATATTGGGCTCAAGTATTTCTTTACAATAGAGCCAATATTCAGACGAGGCTTTTGAGTTTCGGTTTAATCTAAGGGAACGTTTACAAGGCAGGAAGGAATATTCTCGTACAAGCATTTGAAATATAAAGATGTGAAATGGCAAATAAAATTCGAAAATGAAAGACTGACAGGAATCTTTGTTGTATATTGAAATGAACAAAAAACAATTTGATTAATCGAAAACCAACATCGAGGTCGTTCTTTTGGAACCAGTCTTCAAAAACCAATTCGTAATTTTGCATTCAATTTAAAATACATACACGAAAATTGTCCTTGAAATATCCCGTCTTCATAATAAGGTAATTTATCTTTGCACGCTTACTGAAACGGGAAATGCATCACCTCTTTTAATGTCAGGTGCCATCTTCTCGAATTCCAACCAACAGTTCTCCGGATATTGCATGATCGCGAGACTGAGTTGTGCTTGAAATTTCAATGGTAGCATGGGTAGTTTACGTAACTGTTATCACTTGAAAATGTTCAAATACGATTGAAATCTGAGCAAACTAAAAATATTGTCCTCTCGTTCCTGTCGACTAATGATGTCTAATTAAAAAGTCTTTTAGCTTATCTAGATGATTTGTGATTGTTGTATAAGGGATGGGGATGAATTATTTTCGGAAAAATATAATCGTGCTTAATATAACATTACAGTCCTTGGAATATCAATCTGGGTGAAACTTAATAAAGTAAGCGACGCTGACTTATGACATCAAGTGCCCTGATGTGCAAATGTCTAATGTGTTCATGCAAAGGCTAACTCATGTAATTAAAATAACGCAGAACCTTAACCATATTCTGACTGTCACATGATGCTGCTATTTCCAGCAATTACGATTATAAGAATATTTTAATATAAAACTTTTACGAGCTTGTTAGCTTTATTCTTGTAATTGTTTTGACAAAAACCCTTAACCACATCTTTGTGTGCCATGTGAATCCCTCAGGGAAACTGTTATTTCCAGCAATTATGACTGACATGAATGCCACAATTTCATGCCTAATGCCTGCTGTAGGCCTAACTAATTTAATTATGATGGCACAGACCCTGGTCCACATCTCTGGATGCCAAGTCAACCCTTCAGTGACGCTGTTATTTCCAGCAATTATACCTTTAATAAATATCATAATTTCCTACCTAATGCGTGTTTTCAGGCTAACTAATTTAATTGTGATAGCCACATCTCAGGATGCCTCCGCCTCGTGAACCCCTCAGTGACGCTGTTATTTCCAGCAATTATACCTTTAATAAATATCATAATTTCATACCTAATGCGTGTTTTTAGGCCTAAATAATTTAATTATGCTGGCACAGGCCCTGGGCCATATTTCTGGAGGCCACGTGAACCCCTCAGTGATGCTGTTATTTCCAGCAATTATGACTTTACTAAATATCATAATTTCATACCTAATGCATGTTTTAGGCATAACTAATTTAATTATGATATCACAGGCCCTGGGTCACATCTCTGGATGCCACGTGAACCCCTCAGTGACGCTGGGCATGCTAGTCGCGCGCTACATCTCCGTGACGCGCAGCATCCTGTACGTCGTCGCCCAGACGCTCGGTGGCATTGCAGGAGCTGGCATCCTTTACGTGAGTTACTTTGTATCCTTTACGTGAGTTCCTTTGTATCCTTTACATGAGTTCATTTGTATCCTTTACGTGAGTTCTTTTGTATCCTTTACGTGAGCACGGTATCCTTTACGTGAGTTCTTTTGTATCCTTTACGTGAGCACGGATCCTTTACGTGAGTTCCTTTGCTGTGGCATTCAATATTTTTAAGTCTAGCTAGTAACTCATTTTAGATTGAAAACAGTTTTAAATCTATTCGTAATATTATTATGTTTAACTTGAATGCGGTGCACAAACTGAAGCATGCGATTGTAGATTTTTTAAAGTTCACAATTTAAAATTTTTCCCAATTTTTAAATCTAAATTCCAGTCAAATGTCGATGAAGATTCGTTGATAGCAGCTTGACTCCTAAGGAACTACATTTAATCAATGCTTTTTTCAACTTTAAATGACTGGCGCGTAAAAAATATGTTCCTCTGAAAAAATTTAAAAAAATATGTTCCTCTGACAAAATTTAAAAAATATGTTTATCTGACAAAATTTAAAAAATATGTTCATCTGGCAACTTTAAAAAATATGTTTACCTGACAAAAATTAAAAAAATATTACAATTGTCTCCAGGGCATCACACCTGAAAGCCTTCGATATGGCATGGGATGTACCCGCGTGAACCCTGAGCTGACGGAAGGACAGGCGTTCGGCGTGGAGGTTTTGTGCACGTTCTTGCTGGTCTTCACGATCTTCGGCTCTACGGACTCCCGCAGGACGGACGTTAAAGGATCAATCTCCCTCGCTATCGGTCTCGCCGCCATCTGCACTCACATGTTTGGTGTTAGTATGATCTAAGAACAAACAAATTAAAAATAATTGTAAATTAATGAATTCAATAAGCCATTGAACCATTATTGACGTGGTTGCATTCTGCATTCAACTACCCTTGATCTCGCCGCCATCTGCACTCGCATGTTTGGTGTTAGTGTGATATAAAAAGTAACAAATTTGAAAAAAAAACATAAATAAATAAATTCAATAAGCCCTTGGACCATCATTGACGTGATTGCTTTCTGCATTCAACTACCCTTGGTCTCTCCGCCATCTACACTCACATGTTTGGCGCATTACTGTAAACAAAGACATAAGACGGATGGTAAATCAAGGAATACGTTAAGAAATTGCGCAATCATTTTGTTATTGGCATTGTTGCTTTCTGCATTCAACTACTCGCCCATTGTTTCGTCGCCATCTGCACTCACGTGTTTAGCGTGCGTATTATCTCTAATAAAGAGACAACAAACGATATAATAATAATTATAATAAGCCTTGGACCTATTATTTAATTATTGGTGTTATTGATTTTTGCATTTATCTCCTTTTTATTTATATTTTAATTTTCACAGTTATTTCAAGTTTATTCATATAACTATTCTGTAATAAAAAATTTAAACTTTCATTAAAGTAGATAATATTTATTCATTTAATTTAAAATTGAAACGTTGATCTGTGGTTGATTAAAGTTTAAAAATATACAAAAATTAATAAAAATAGTGGTTAATCAACTTCCAAAAAATATAACTCAGTACTCACTGCAGTGAGTGACAGAGAGCGCATTTTTAATTGAGGATAAGAATATGATTGGCACTTGGGATCGTAGCTGAGAGCAATGTTAGCAAAGTGAATAATTACTTATCAAATTAAATTATACACCTCGGTTAATTGGTTAAATATTATTATGAATACTTCTTATGAAAAGGGTCGTATCAATTTAGAAAAAATGTTTTTTTTTCATCTATTGTTTTCAAAATTAGGAAATAAATTTTAGTAGATGGGTTCTCTTCGTAATGTTTAATTTAGCTTAGTTCCATATCATGGCCCCATGCGTACTTCGCGGGTCCAGCACAATTATACGAACTGAGACGATGCGATGTGAAAAAAACACATCGTCGTAACTTATGAATGGTGTTTTCTTACCGATTTTTTCTTGCTCTTCTCGTGACGGCGATAGGAAAATTTGGTAGCAGTCGCGTATAAAAAATCTAAAAATTATTCATTGACTAAAAATAATTCTTTGTTTTTAGAAATATTAATTAGCAGTTTTGCATTGCATGAAGAATCTTTAGAAAATTTCGATCCTTGTTACGGGTTATGCACGAATGCTAATTATTTGCTGTAATTACAACGCTAAAACTTTACACACTTATTTCTCTGGGTGATTGGTGAACTGCTTCATTCTTTTCACTTTTGATATTCTGCTTGCTGAACAAAAACGGATTTATTCAATCAACAATGTAAAAAATTGTCATATTCCACCTTGGTGCTAAATGCATTGTCTTCTGCTGTATTAGCTACTGAGTGAACGAGTTCTATGTATCACTATACTTAAATAGCCCTAGCGTTTATTCATTAAAATATTGACGTAAATTTGAGTAGAGGTAACTAAGTTATTTCGAGTATTAAGGGTCACTTGAGGGTAGAGTAAGTTTACTACATGGATTCAATAAAAGAAAAGTATGAATACTTTTCGGTGCCATTCAACAACATCAGGTCAAGTGACCATAATAAACACAATCACAAATCTTCCTTGTGATTGCTTGCAACAATTCTAACCTCATAATTCTAACATTATTGATTACGTTGTTGCAAGTGGATCTTTAATTCAGGTGTTGTTGAAGAGCAAGAAGTAAAAGGCGGTAAAAATTTTCTAAATTTTTATTTGCATTTTACTTAATTAGGCGTAATGCACAGCATAACCCATTAGCCACCGATTTTCTTGCGAATGCAAAACACCACATTACACCCATTCCACATTGCTGAAATTCATTTGTGGAGAAAATTTAAAATCTAGAATATGTATGTCCACCTGGTCTAACTGGTCATAATAAAAAACGCCATTTTAAAGACGACGCATACGAACAGCTGGGCCAATACTTTAAAACAAATTTAAGAGATCGTAAGTTCATCAGCCAATCATTGACGGCCTTTCAAGCAAAATCCACCAATCATAGACAAGAAAATAGAGCATACGTACTTACGTTCACTTAGCGAATTTTGACAGTATAGGCCTAAGATGTTAAAGGTTTAACTCCCCCCCCCCCGCCAAGCTATACTGGATGGCTCCCCCGGTGGGCGGCATGACAGCAGGGCTGCTGTACTCGCATTTCTTCAGGCAGACCAAAGAACGCGACGTTGAAGTTGTCTACAGCAAGCATGAAATTCAACTCAATGCGATCAATTAAAACTTGGTGCATGTGGTAAAACTTTTGATATACTTTAACCCATTATCTAAATCATTCTTCTCTTATCTTAAGGGCTTCTTTTTCTCTTATTTTAAGGGCTTCTTTTAAAAAAAAGGCCTTCTTAATTAACGCTTGGTAAAATGAACATAATCTCTTAATTTTGTCGTTCAAAATTGGTCGAACAAACTGAATGCAGCCTAATTGTAATACAGTGCTTTAAATTAACAATAATTTATTTCCTTTGCAGCTTAATTTACTGTTAATCCGGTTTCATCTTTAATAAATTTCCATGAATTAAATTACTTGCAAGACGCTTTTATATTCATCCTTCACAGAAAAATATGCTTATGTCTGTTTTTCTGATAGCTCTGTTTAAAAAAATAATTAGTTCAGTGCATGCTTATCAATTTTATCCATGATAAAGTTATATATACGATAAAAAAATACTGCGCTGTCGCAGTCGCCGTCATGGTATTTAGACTTGATCATAATTTATTTAATGTAAAAAGATTGATTGATTCTTTTCATTTATCTTAACTAACTCGCTCTGATACTCATGCTCATTACTGTAGCTTTTTGTGGCATATTAACGTATGGCTTGTTCCTCAATGTGAACCGACCTTACCGCCTCAACATAAAAAATTATTTTAAATTTTTTTTAACTATATGATATACATGGCAGTATTATTTCAGTACTATAATATACAATGCAGTTTATCTCATTACTTTTCATTGGATTTGAATTATTTAGTTTCCTTCAGTATTTTCAACGATGTCATCCGACACTTTTTTCTATTTTTTTTAAACTTCAAAATTATAAATTATGAAAATAAATGAAATGGGTTTACTTTTCCTATTTTAAACAGCAAGTCTATTTCCAATTTTACCTTTTTTGCTTTATTTGGGTTAGGATTATGCGGGTGTCAGGCAGAAAATATATTATTCGTACAGATGGGGTAAGAAGTCAATAATTTTGGGTGCGATGAGGACCTTGGGCGCTAGAAAAAATAGTCATAAATAATATTTTCATTCTAACAAGACGATATTGGGAACTAAACTGCATATAAAACTGGCCGCAAATGTTCCAGTTTTGATATGATGATTAAATAATATTATGTAATCATCAATCAAGATGGGATTATTAACCTATACACCATATTAGGCTGGCCCGGTATGCAGGCAGAGGTGTACTTAGAAAAATTATTTTTATCCCGGTATACGGAGGTGTACCTGGAGATATTATGTAATCATCAATAAAAATGTGATTTATAACCCATATACCTTAATTACAGGTATACTGGGCTGGTCCGGTATGCGGAGGTATACTTGGAGCCCTCGTGTACCAAGCCCTCTTCAGAGGAGCCCACAAGCCCACTCCCCCCCCCTCAGACCTCCACACCGCCCGCCCTCTCATCCCCATCACACACAAGGAGCTCAAGAACCTGGAGATGGAGGCCTGACCTCCACACCGCCCGCCCCCTCATCCCCATCACACACAAGGAGCTCAAGAACCTCGAGATGGAGGCCTGACCTCCACACCGCCCCCTCATCCCCATCACACACAAGGAGCTCAAGAACCTGGAGATGGAGACCCCGAGTGCCGTTTCCGAGTGGGCGACACTAGACTGCATACCATTATAGTCGTTCGGTGAAATGATCAAAATTACCGTATACTTAAATAAACTAAAGAGTACTTTTATGAATTTTGAACTATTACATTGATTATCTTACTCTAATCATGCATTTTGACGGGTAGCAGATTCCAAGTTAATGAAATAAAAGTTGATATATCAGGAATAATTTATGGCATACACGATCATGGAAAGACTGAATTATCATGCTAGTGATACAATATGGGCATAATTGTGACAATCTCTGTCCATGGTTTGTATTTTTATTGATGCGTTGCAATAATGATATACTACACAACATTAATGAGCGTGAACATAGAAATTAGTTAGTCGTAAAAAATGCTAAGAAAATATTAATAATATGGCGATAATATTGCATGAAATCCGGAGTGATGAATAAAGAAGTTGAAATCGGTGCATAGTTCAAATAAAAAATCTAAATTTGCATAAAATTCACAAGTTGTTGAATCATGATCTTATTCTGAATTTTATTTAGGACAAGTGTTGAATTCATCTCAGAACGTAAACAATTGATAAACATCGACGAAAATTCAGAGACGTTGAATTTTTTGGAAGAAAAATTCAATTTATGTCACTGGGTTCTTGAGTAGTCAAAATTCATTAATGCGAAATTCATTCTAAGACATAAATCTTTTTACAAATTTGCCGTTTACCGGTAAATTATTGATAACTGCGTCACTTATTCATATATATTTGACACAAACACGTATTTTGATTAAAATATCTTACATATTTCTTCATAAAAGTCACTCATAGAAAGTCTCTCGGCGCGTGATTTCACTCACAGAATGTACAAAATTGTCCTGGCTCAATTTATGTACAGGAAACGAAATTACGAGACTGAATGGGAAAAAGCACTTCAAGAACACTAACGCAAGTTAACTGCGTGTACTTTACATCATTCTCATTGCATCAATAATTCTGTTGCATGATACTTTGATAAAATATATGTACTGTAAATATCTGACACATAGCATTGACTTTCCTTTTCACGGCCATTGCGGTTTGTCTAAAAAATTCGACTGGTATTTTAAAATTTACTAAACATCATTAAATTTCGGATACTTTTGTACTAAAAATGCAGTAAGTCTTTTGCTTTATGTATGAGTTTTTTCTGTAATATATTAAGCAATTTAGCAATCTTTGCAATAAATATTGTTTGCGTATAAGCATCAGGAAGAGTTCAATCCACCGGAATGATTAATTTCTTTATATTTTATAGCATTGATATCTTAACATCAACCATATTTATTATCTACGAATTTTGTCTTTTTCGACTAGCACTTTTTCATAACCGCCAATCATCTTCATTCATGCATCTATAACCACCATCAACATTGTACTTCATTCATCAATTTTACCGTTTACAGCAATTAATTGGCGTTTACAAATCATTAGCGTTGATTATCGTCGTAAAATGTTCAGACAAGAGATTTACAAAGGTACATAATACATAATAATCTAGAATTCATAATAATCGAACAGCTACTTTGCTCGGATATATTACTTGGTTGAAAGCACTGGACATGCTTTGATCTCGAAAATACTAGTTGTGTGTATCGGCAATATAGTTATTTTCATTCAGAATTTTATATACTATTATCTGTTGAAATGAGCTCTCCAAAACTATCAATTTTTGTTACTATTGGTTTCACTTGCTAGTTATCGAGCGCATGTTTCCAGAAGTTTTCCAGAATTTATTCACGGTTATAATATTAATCTTAACATAAATTTTAAGGCTTGTCCTGTAATCTGTAATAAGAACTTCACGATGATTTCTAATACTTTGAAAAAACAACATTTTCATAATATTTTTGTTTGCATGAATTTTCGTAAAATTATTATACGAAATTCCCGCCTCTTGAATGTTGGAGAATAGATTTAAAGACTAGATGTATGAAATGGTAACGTTTGACACAGTTGTTCGGTAATTTCTAAAACCCTAACACTTAATGTAAGTTTTTAGTGTAGGAATTGATGAAACAAAGCCAATTTGTATGAATTTCAGCATAATGATCAGTATTTTTAGCATGTGTTTCTTAATAAACGATGAACCATATGCCAGGAAATATTATTATCTTCTGTATAACTAACAATTTCCATTACATTTATGTAGATGAATATACGAGGAAACAAAATTATTTATTATGATGTGAATCATCGTTAACTTGAATGTTCCCGAGGGAAATCCCACGAGAAATGATAAAAATTTCATATAGTGATAATGATCAAATTTTATTTTCAATAAAATGATCGAAGGTTCGTTTGGGAAAATGGATCAAAAATTCAAATGACGAAAATGGTGGAAGTTTCACCCACGGAAAACATTCAAATCTTCATTCGCAGAAAAAGTTTCTCCTAAATCAAATGATCAAACTATTATTTATAGATAATAGTGACATTTTCATGTTCAAGAAATGATAAAATTTTCATTGCTTGAAAATAGTGAAAATTTTTCTCAGAAATTAATGAAAAATTTATTTTAAGAAAATTATGAAAGTTTCAGTTTATCAAATCATGTTCTTATCTACCTAAACGTAAAATCATTGTTCCATAAAATATTTTTCAAATATCGTTCTAAACACGCATATTGGATATTATCGCGTGCAAGGAATCAACCTCAAGATATTCTAATTCAATGAAAGTTAATTTTAATGAAAATCATATAAATTTTCAGTTATCCGCAATTATTCGACCAGAGTTCAGCCACAAGGTTGGGAGAGTTTCGCCAATAATTTTCGAAGGCCCGTTTTCTTCGAGACCATCACTTGTGATGATATTTTATCATCGAAAATATGGTGGGTCTCGGCCATGACTTAATAACGTTACAATAATAATGTTAATAACATCGGGTCGACGTTCCCAACGAACTTTACAGTAATTCCATGCATGTCCATTGTGAACATCTGATATCTCAAAAACACTGCACGACTTTTCCACAAATGATGCAGTTTGCATGGACGCTTATAGGATTCAAACCAATAATGGGAATAAATTAATATGAGAATAATTAGAATAAATAAATGAGTAAATAAGGTAATAAATTTGGAACCCGATCAGTGGATCTTAAGTTTGAGCGTTCACTTTATCAATTTTTTTCGGTAAGTCCTCCAAATATTTGAGGAATAATTAACGGAAAAGCGTAATTCATACCACTGATCTCGTAATATATTAGAGTTGATTATATAACATCACTATTTGAAACTTAGTTATGAGCATATAAAAATCGCAACATTTATCCACATTATTTTAGTATATTTTCTCATAAATTTTTGAAAAATATTCTTCGATTGTTCACGTGTCAATTGTTGAATTTGAGCAGTAAATGCATTTATCTATGATAAAGAGGTACTGTTTTCCTTTAAGATAATCATATAATAAATATACCACACATATGTATAAAAATTTATGGACAAAATAAACAGACAATAGACTCTCGACAAAAAATATAAATATGTTAGGAAATAAGCCGCAAACAAATGCTTTAATCAAATCTAAAATGTGACACAAAACTAAAAAAAATCAGAATATATTTTGTGTGAATAAGTGTCAGACTTATGAGACAGAACTCTGTCGTGATTAAATCTGGTACAATCTTCTGAAGGATCTTGTGATATCAACTCAAGTGCTTTCTATGTGAAGATTGACGACACATTTATGCTTAACTAGAACAAATAATTCCACCTGGTTATGTTCAACAAATCTTGATGCGTCTCAATAATCATCATAAAAACATATAATTTAGCAAATATTAATCAAATCTTTTGCTGGAAATTGTTCAGCCTTGAGTCAGATTGATTATAATGTGAATGACTGAGGCACTTGCTTTATTGTAAAATTTTTAGCACATTTTCTCATACATGGAAAAAATGCCCTATTGTGCTCGCCATGTCCGTCCGTCTGTCTGTCCGTCTGTGACTTCACGTTTTCGTCGACAAAAAAATGCGTTCTCGGTCACTCACTGGAGTGAGTACTTAGTTATATTTTTTAACATAACGCTTAATTCGTAGGTATTTTCGAATAAATCCATTTTCAAGAACACTGATATTATTCGTATGTTTATTGAGCAAGAGAAGAAGAAAGAGAAATTTTATTTACTGCTCAAAAGTTCAACACAAGTTCGGTTGCTCGATCCACAATTGGCGAGAGGTTTTAAAAAAATGTCTCTGAATGCATGTGAATTGAGCGTGCCAACCCCATTCCAAAGAATCCCTTTCAATGATAAAAATTTCTGCTCCACATGTGAAATTGTTAATTATCTGCACAATTGGTGGGAGCCGATTCATTTTGTAAGGGTTGTCAAACATTATATTTTGGGTCACCAACATGTACTGATTATCTTATCAATCTTTACCCGAACAGATTGCAGAGTGTAGGGTAAACCCCAGCAATCATGAGTCCGCTGGGACATCGATTATTGCGTATGTTTCAAACGTAGGTCATGGGCTGCAAAACCAAACTCATGTTAAGTATTGAACAATATTTTAGGAACTACAAATTTAAACATCAAGTAAAAAGTTTTAAAAATAATTTCCAACCGCTTGTAGTCAAAGCTACAACTAAGAACCTGAATGAATTACGCAGAGATCTGATTTCTCTCCGTATTTAAAAAAATACAGAGATACATACATACGTTTGTAAATTAAGGTGTGACTTAATTAAATAATTAACAATGACTTTGTAACATTTTGCTGACTCAAAAAGTGATAAGGGTCATACAAAGGCCAGGGAGATGCCTATATTCGTGTTTATTAATTATTAAAAACTAGACTACTTTAGGAAGCATTATTATGGCATTCACCTCTTAAACTATTTTTTTTTTAACTTTTCGGAGCAAGTAAGCTTCCCCAATTAAGTTTGTTTTCAAATAGAACGCAGAATACTCAACTATCTGTTCATTGTCATCAATCCATATTAGTTTCATCTCAATAACGAGATGAAACGAAAAAATTCCTTCCAAAAATTTTTCTTCAACCGGAAATTTAATATTTATTCACAGATAAAAAAAATATAAAACACTAAAATAAAAAAAAAGCACAGTGAAAAGAGATTATAAAAACAGAATAGTGAAAAAAAAAAATATAACAAACGCACAACACAAAACAACACACACAAGACGCGATAGTTGAATGCTTGAAAATGAACTGAGTTGAAAATCAAAGATTCGGCAACATAGGGAAGTAAAATTTCAACTGCAAATCTGCAAGACAATAAATTCTACAAAAATTAAAAAAATTAAAACAGGTTATAGTTCACAATATTTATTATACATTAAACAACCAGCTTATATATAAGGAATATCTAACATAGTCCCCGCAACAATGATAACACTTCGAACCACACCGGAAATCCTAGGTCATCAGGAGCTGAAATCAATGCCGCTGTACCGCGCCGCGGCCGCCGAATTCTTGGGCACCCTGATGCTGGTGATGGCTGCCTGCGCCTCTGCTATGAGCAGCGGCCTTACCCTCAGTGCAGCCCTCGCACCGGGACTTATGCAGGCTGCAATCATACAGGTGAAGGCCGGGACTTATGCAGGCTGCAATCATACAGGTGAAGGCCAGGACTTATGCAGGCTGCAATCTAATCATACAGGTGAAGGCCGGGGCTTATGCAGGCTGCAATCATACAGGTAAAGGCCGGGGCTTTATTATGCAGGATGGAGGCCATCATATATAGTCTATTGAACTATTTGCCAATTAGTCTAGTGTTGCAATTCAAGGTCAAGCAAGATACCACCTAACAATTGTTATCACTCTTTTAGAAAAGCTGTAAAGGTTCTATTTTTCCAGGTGGAACTTGTAGAATGCCACTAATCATTTTATTTTGAGATTTAATCTCATATGTTTCCTGAACTTTCCGTGTGTTACCCATTGCCCGTGATATATTATATATTTAAGCAAAGCCTTCTAATCAGCTTCAGCAATTAGTGGGTTTCAAACTCGATTGAAATGCACCATGAAATTATGGTCTAACGACAGGCGATTGGCCACATCTCTGGCGGTCACGTCAACCCTGCCGTGACGCTGAGCTTCTGCTTGTGCCGCAACGTCTCTGTGGTACGCGGGCTGTTCTTCCTGGTAGTACAAGTCGCCGGTGCAATTACTGCATCTGGGATACTGTACGTAAGTGAGCCGTGAAACAGTTTTTCAATGGAAATTGGTAAAAATCAGAGTTTAAATCAACCGTAAAGTTAAACAGCAGTAAAGCGTAAGTAAACGTATATTATTAGGTGAAATTTTGATATAGTCTGCGTTAACTTGATATATCAAATTTTTATCATTGGCTTGAGGTTGTTTTTTCGTCGGGACTAGTATGAGGTTTTAATTGATCAGATTATTATTAGGCGTGCTGTAATTTTATTAATTATATCGGTGATTAAAGTAGAGCACAGTAGAGAAATAATTTCCTTTGATCCAAAACTGCTCTCGTCATGACATTGGCTATCAGAGTAGAAATAATTGAAAAAAGTTAATGAGGATTTTCGAACGAGATTCGGCAATTTTAAATTAAATGAATTGAATTAATAATAATAGTTTCTTATACGAGCCCAAAACTCACTCATCGCACAAATTATGATATTGCTTCAATGGCTTATGGCAATTATTATATTGTTCAAATGGTTCATGACAATGACGCTGGCAATATTGTCGCAATAATGCAAAAAATTAGCACCTGCTAAATTTTTGAACTTGCTAATTGCTGTGATGCCTTCGAGGTCGTATTATAAAGATTGCAGTGGCTGTTTGGAATTTATTTAAAGTTTTAAAAATTATGTTCAATCATGCCATTTCTTGGCTCATTATATCAGACATATAATCCTTGATCAATAGTTGACATTAACATCGGTCAACTCGCACCCTCTACCCGTCAGTAATGTTTGTTTCGTTATAATTTTCGATTTTCATCTCATCAGTCACAGATTTTTTTCAAGTAATAATCATGTTCAATGTTCAATAGGCGGCAAAAGTTATTGACACAATTTTTAGAGTAACTAAATATGATGCAAAATTTCCGAACGTTTTGACTAGTCAGGATTTTAATAGTTTGCTTTGATACGCGAGTATTTGTGAGTCATTTATTTTATTGACATTCACCTGAGCTCCCCAAAAGGAAGACAGTATTTTTATTATAGTATTTATTTTATCGTAATAGTTTAAGTAATTGACGGTATACGGAATACTAGAGGCTTTTGATTTTCTGATTTGTTTCTCACGCAGAGCGTCGTTCCCAACATATATCACAATAATCTTGGAATCGCTACGAAGAACGACGACATTTCAAATGCCCAAGCTTTTGGTGTAGAAGTTCTTGTGACGTTCATCTTTGTCTTGACCATTCAAGGTATGACTTGGAAATAAAAGATTAACACCGGAGAATCGTGCTCGTAGCTTCCTCAACTGTTTCAAATTATTTTTTATATCAATACAGTTTTAAATGAGTCTCATACCAAGGTTCAAAATTGGTGTTCAGTATTGTATGATTTCCAGGTTCGTTTGGATGAAAACCGCCATATTTTAAAAGTTCAAAGTAAAGTTGTGTTAGAGTTGATTTAATATTTTATGTTTATGTACAAGTTCAATACACTGAAGTTGTCTGTTGCATATTACGCGCCGAAGAAATTTAATTATATTAGATTATATTTTTCAACTATGATAAATGTATATCCAATAATATTATAATATGCAATTTTATAAAAAAAATGTCTGCAAAATCATAAATTTATCATACATTTTCCTGATAGTATCGATCAGAAGTTAAACCGAAACCTCGCATGCAAATATATGAATTTATTATACATTTTCCTGATGGTATAGTCCAGAAGTTATACCGAAACCTCGCATGCATATATATAAATTTATGATACATTATCCTGATGGTATCGTTCAGAAGTCATACCGAAACCTTGCATGCAAATATAGAAATTTATGATACATTTTCCTGATGGTATCGTTCAGAAGTCATACCGAAACCTTGCATGCAAATATAGAAATTTATGATACATTTTCCTGATGGTATCGTTCAGAAGTCATACCGAAACCTTGCATGCAAATATATAAATTTATGATACATTTTCCTGATGGTATCGTTCAGAAGTCATACCGAAACCTTGCATGCAAATATATAAATTTATGATACATTTTCCTGATGGTATCGTTCAGAAGTCATACCGAAACCTTGCATGCAAATATATAAATTTATGATACATTTTCCTGATGGTATCGTTCAGAAGTCATACCGAAACCTTGCATGCAAATATATAAATTTATGATACATTTTCCTGATGGTATCGTTCAGAAGTCATACCGAAACCTTGCATGCAAATATATAAATTTATGATACATTTTCCTGATGGTATCGTTCAGAAGTCATACCGAAACCTTGCATGCAAATATATAAATTTATGATACATTTTCCTGATGGTATCGTTCAGAAGTCATACCGAAACCTTGCATGCAAATATATAAATTTATGATACATTTTCCTGATGGTATCGTTCAGAAGTCATACCGAAACCTTGCATGCAAATATATAAATTTATGATACATTTTCCTGATGGTATCGTTCAGAAGTCATACCGAAACCTTGCATGCAAATATATAAATTTATGATACATTTTCCTGATGGTATCGTTCAGAAGTCATACCGAAACCTTGCATGCAAATATAGAAATTTATGATACATTTTCCTGATGGTATCGTTCAGAAGTCATACCGAAACCTTGCATGCAAATATATAAANGGGGCTCTGTATTATGGCCCTCGACCGACTGGGGTTCTGTATTATGGCCTTCGACCGACTGGGGCTCGGTATTATGGCACTCGATCAACTGGGGCTCTGTATTATGACCATCAACCGACTGGGGCTCTGTATTATGGCCTTCGACCGACTGGGGCTCTGTATTATGGCCTTTGACCGACTGGGGCTCTGTATTATGACCCCCGACCGACCAGGGCTCTGTATTATGACCATCAACCGACTGGGGCTCTGTATTATGGCCTTCGACCGACTGGGGCTCTGTATTATGGCCTTCGACCGACTGACGCTCTTTACGTATTATGGCCTTCGACCGACTGGGGCTGTGTATTGTGACCATCAACCATCAACCGCCTGGGGCTCTGTATTATGACCATCAACCGCCTGGGGCTCTGTATTATGGCCTTCGACCGACTGGGGCTCTGTATTATGGCCTTTGACCGACTGGGACTCTGTATTATAGCCCACGACCGACTTGGGCTTTGAATTACGGCCCTCAATGCACTGAGGCTCTGTATTGTGGCCCAAAAATAGGTGGGGCTCTGTTTTATGGCCCACAACAGACTGCAACTCTGTATTATATACAGGCCTTGACCAACCGTGGTTCTGTATAACGTTCCACTACCAGTTGGAGTTCTGCGTTATGGTCCATGAGGGATTAATATAGCGCATTGAATCCCAAGATCGACTTATATTTAATTTCAGTACTTTTCTCCTCAGATTTACTGGGTCGGTCCGTTCTTGGGTTCCATCATTGCAACTTGCGTCTATCAACTTGCCTTCCGGCAACCCGCTGTTCAACCTCTACGCGAAAGCTCTAGCATCAGTCCCATAATCAGCAGCTTCTAAAACCATTATCAAAAGATATGAAAACCATCATTCGTAGATTCATAACCATCACATCCAGCCTTAACCTCTTTATCAAACGATATTGTCGCTTTAATCGCCATATGCGAATCCTTCACAGACCGATTTCTACATCAACAACTGCTGATCATGAACAACCTTATATACTAACGACCTCGTCATCTCTAGCTCATGAGTTGTTAGTACCATTTAACTCTACTATGTACTGCCTAAACCATGAAAATCATTGAATTATTTCAACCCGTTATATAACGATAAATAATAGTATTTTTTTAACTCTAACAATCATTCTTAACACTCAATTTATTCATTCACTCAAACTATGAGACAAGAGTTAAGTAAGACGAGAGTTAGTAAGTAAATGATTTTTTTTGCTAATCATGTAGGTGCATGATTGTATTTGCGTAAGGCCACGAACTATAAGTCTTTAAACTTCACAATTCTTTTTGTTGATATTTTTAAGCAATCAAAGATTTTTAGAGCTTCTACCGCTAGAATAAATATGAAACCAGGCAGCAAAATAATATATCAAGTGGAAAATTTTTAAATGTAAATTACGATAGAACTTTACTATCATTTTTGGTGGCATATCCAATGCAACTTTAGCTCGGAATTTAATTATTTAATTAAAAGCAACCTAAAGTTGAATAAATTGACCTTTTTCCATATAAAACTTATTGAGTCTGACTCAGCCATCTGTTCGAACTTTCTTGGTTAACTGGCAATGCAAGCTAACTAAAGTTGGAAAACTTTAATTCGAGATTGCAAGGTAAAACTTTACTTTGAAATTGCAATGTAAAACTTTAATTCGAAATAGCAATGAGGATGTTCCAGTTTCTAGAAGGGTGTTTGATAATTTAGGATTGAAATTATTATGTGTGGAATTACCATATTTAAACAATTAGGTCTATGATATCTGAAGGATTTGTTCTCTGCTAATTGTTGTGAAACTTTTATAACCAAAATTGTAATTAGAATAGAATAGAAGTGTTCTCTACTAAATTTTTGTCCTTTTCAAATTTCGGTGACCACACAACGGTTGATGAATTATTTTTAAAACTTTATGCCATCAGCATCGTCGCCAGTTAGCTGATTTTCAAAATTTAATCTTTAAATTACAAATAAAATGCTATTAAAATGTATCGTTTTTGTTATTATTGAATTTATTTAACAATATGTTGGTGCGTAGTTAGTGTGAAAACTGTTGTTATTTTTTGCTTTGATGAAAAATGTAAGAATAAATGCGTTATCTGGTTTGTAATACAACTATAAAATCGTAATAAAAATTCTGAGAGCTTGGAGCTAATGGAAAATTTGCTTGTAATATTACTCTTGTATTAATAAATAGATTTTCAAGAAGTGATGACAGATATTATTACCATTATTAAGAAACAAAGAAACGAAGTAGCAAAATATGAAAAATACCCAAGCCGATCAAATAAAAACCCATCGTATATTAATGCGTATTCGATCCATGAATGATACCAGATACAATACAAAATATATTATATCTGAAGTAATGTCCATGCTATTTAATACACATATGCTAAATTTAAATTCTGGTTTGATGTAGTTCAGATTCGGCATTTTCAGAAGATCGCTTTTGTTTATTCAGCAAGACACGTGTATTGTGAGGCAGAGCACGTGTAGCCGTACACTTGTGAAGCAACATACGCCCCAATCTGTTCAAATAAATGAATTGTACTAAAGACGGATTGTCAGTTTCTAGTAGAGTAGGAAGGGAGATGTACAAGCGTCATACATTCTCCAGAAGCGCTGCGATGAACACATTTTTAGGTTTATGTGAATTTTATTGAAGCCCGGAATAAAAATTTGAATTTTTGAAAATTTGAATTAAAAAAAAATGCGAATTTTGTTTCTAAGTGAATTATTGAATGCAATGTTTGCTTAAGGGGAGTTAAAACAAAGACGTGGTACATATTCTCGACAAATATAGGAACATTTTCCAGCAAATTGCCTTTTTCAAACGAAAACATTGCACTTGTGAATGGCACAAATAAATACTGTGATCGATTTTCTTCGTGTGCTCCGAATGAATTCTCGCTCCTCACAAAGTAAAAAATTGCAAACAAAACCTTTATAATTTATTTACGAACTGTATAAAAAATTTATTCCAAAATGAATTTTATCCGCAAAAAAATGTATTTTGCAACGAATTTAAAAAATGTATATGGGAACCATCTCATTTCGATAATTTGAATTTATGGACAATTTCTGATCTTATATGTCAATATTAATTGGGAAATTTGGTGAAGAGGTTTATTGTACGTGTAACTGTGTGTTACATTACAGATTAAAGAGTGCAGTCACGTCATTCATTCCTGATAAATAGAATTTTCAAAAGCTACTTATTCAAATTTTATAAATAACGAATCCAACGACAGTAAAATCCTAAGCAATTCCGCTCCCAGGCTCAGTTTTTAGCTACTTAAAATGTGTTGAAGTATTTTCCTTTCATATTATTGCTACGCTCGTAGTAGCTTCTGCGTTAGTATTGATTTAACTGTTATTAATTGGTATTTCGTAGTGTATATTATTTTAAAAATAGCTTCAGTATTTACCGGCGAGTTCTACATATCCTAAAAGAAAACTTCTTGCAAAATTTGAACATAAACCCCATGAATAAATTTCAAAGCCTAGACTGTAATAATTCGACCAAGCCACTACAATATTGATCAAGAGAGTTAAATTAGATTCGCCATGATGAAACTAAAAAGTCTATGCGGAAGAATATTTTCTTTATTCTATGTTCAAAAATAAAGATATTGGCACTTTGACATGACACAATGCAGCAGCTGGTCATATATACCCGAGAAAAAATAGCATTGGATGATCCTTAGAAAAAATTGGCATGTCTTTCATGAAACTTCTTATTCAGGTGAGTATCACCACGAGCTTCACACTTGCATGTCTTATTCAGGTGAGTATCACCACGAGCTTCACACTTGCATGTCTTATTCAGGTAAGTATCATCTAGTTTACCTATGGTGAGGCTGAGGATCACTATCGTTACTATTGTTGTAGAGGTGAAGGTCATTGGTGAGGTGAACATCATTGGGGTAGGCGTGGATATATCATTTGAGTGATTATTCGTGCAGTGAATATCATTTGTGCGGAGAACATCATCTGTGTGGTGAATATCTTTTGTGTGGTCAATATAATTTCTGTGGTGAATATCTATTGTGTGCTGCGCAGCATTTGTGTGCTGTTTTCATTAGGGCAAATACAGATCAAAGTCTCAAAGTATCGTAAAACAAAATTTCATGTTGCAGCCAAAAAATAAGAAAGTGTCACTCACGATCAAGAAGAAAAATTCCCAAGCAGAAACCTGGAACATAATAAATCTATGATCTATAATACATATATGATTGTGCTTTAGAAACTAGTTCACATAAACTGCCCTTGTTGTATCTTCACATCAACATTTATTTTGCGTTATCATACACGCTTCAACCATATTGCAAAACTACAACCAAGCAATTATTTTAAAGCTGATGAGGAAGTGCACAATATCCCAATTCCTTGCCTAAAGCGCATTTATAGGTATAACTCGTATGAACATGATGACCCGGGACCATATCTTTGGATTCCACATAAAACTTTCAGTTACGTTATTATTTCTACTAATTATGACTGTACAGAACATCCTAATTTCATGCCTAATGCCAGTTTTTAGGCCTAACTAATTAATGTAATTATGATGACGCCCGGGCTGGATCGAGTCTCTGGGTGTCACTTGACCTTCTAAAAAAAATTAAGTAACGTTATAATATCCAATAATCATGACTGCGAAGAATATCTTTATATTTAATGCCTAATACGATTTTTAAGCCCGGCCAATTTTATTCTAATGATGAAGGCCTTAGACGACTTGTCTGGATGCCACGTGAACCTCTCAGTGACGTTGTTATATCCTGTAATTACGATCGTGCAGAATATTCTTATATCATGCCAAAAGCACGGATAATTTTTTAAGCATAACTTATGTAATTATGATGACGCCCGGGCTGGGAGGAGTCTCTGGGTGTCACTTGATCTTCTAAGTAACGTTATAATATCCAACAATTATGACTTTGAAGAATATTTTATATTTAATGCCTAATGCGATTTTTAAGCCCGGCTAATTTTATTCTAATGATGAAGGCCTTGGACGACTTGTCTGGATGCCACGTGAACCTATCAGTTACGTTGTTATTTCCTGTTATTACGACAGTGCAGAATATTCTTATTTCATGCCAAAAGCACGGATAATTTTTTAAGCATAACTTATGTAATTATGATGACGCAGGCCTTGGACGACGTCTCTGGGTGCCACGTGAACCCCTCAGTGACGCTGGGCATGCTGATCGCGCGCAACATTTCGGTGACGCGTAGCATTCTTTACGTCGTCGCACAGATGCTCGGTGCTGTTGCAGCATCCGCTACACTCTTCGTAAGATAATAAACGGATTAGTTAAAACATTTTCAGCGAACATTTTGGGGGAAATTTTGTGGATATTGTCATGATCCATGAAATTTATGTCTTCACTAACTGAGAACTAAGTACATTTCGTAATTGTATTATTTGGGGATTTCGTAATTGATGTTAATCAAGTGTGACTCGATTTATTCGATCCCTTCATAAAATATTGCTTATTCCTAGATAACCTAAAAAAATTTTCGAGAAAATGCAATCTTTTATTTATTTAATGAATTATTTTCTACAGCAGTGCAAATGTGCCTGCTCTGCTATGCCGTAAGGTGTGGCTTGAGTTCATATTTGCCAAAAAATACTGGGTAGGAAATGGGTAATTATTTTAAAGATTAGGTATACCTCGCTTCTTGAAGCCACAAAGATGCAGTTGCGGATGCAGAATAAAACAAGGATAGCAAAAAATTATTTTTGGGTGAAATTATTTGTATATCGTTAGTCTCCACAAAAAATTTTGCTCGGGTCATATTTCGCACCCATTTCACAATTTCCAAGATTATATTTCTACTAGGCCCGAGATCATTCGGGTTCTCAAAAAATTACGCTCAAAATCTCCTATATTGTTTGTCCCCTCAAAAAATTACGCTAAAAATATCCTATATAGTTTGTCTCCCTCAAAAAATTACGCTCAAAATCTCCTAAAACGTTTGTCTCCTCCAAAAAATTACGCTCAAAATCTCCTATATTGTTTGTCCCCTCAAAAAATTCCGCTCAAAATCTCCTATATAATTTGTCTTCTCAAAAAATTACGCTCAAAATCTCCTATAGAGTTTGTATCCTCAAAAAATTACGCTCAAGATCTCCTATATAGTTTGTCTCCTCAAAAAATTACGCTCAAAATCTCCTATATAGTTTGTCTCCTCAAAAAATAACGCTCAAGATCTCCTATATAGTTTGTCTCCTCAAAAAAGAGACGCTTAAAATCTCCTATATAGTTTGTCTCCTCAAAAAATTTATGGCATGGGCGTGAGCCACGTGAACCCTGATCTTACGAACGGTCAGGCGTTCGGCGTGGAGGTTATATGCACATTCGTGCTGATCCTGACCGTCTTCGGCGTCACCGACTCCCGCAGGGCTGATGTCAAAGGCCCCGTCGCCCTCGCCATCGGCTTTGCTGCCATCGGCACTCATTTGTTTGGCGTAAGTCAAAACGTTAATTAAATTGTGTCTCAATGAAGCCATTTTATCAGTTTTTCTATTGGACAAGCAATTTTTCTCGCCTTCGGCATTAATGGGTTAAGAAAATCAAGCTGTAAATTGATGAAAACGAGCAGCCATTGAACTATAACTAGCGTGATTGATTTGAGCATTCACCTCCTCTTCATCGGCCTTGCCACTATAGGTACTTATTGTTTGTCGTTCGTTTTACTGTTGATATAGAAAAATTCACAGTAAATTAAATAATTAAAGATGGTATTCAATTAATGATTGGTTAAATAGACGCGTCGTGTAAGAAGTAGCAAATGGCCATAATTGATTACTTCCTCGAGACAAATGCTTTACAAAAACAAACATACGAATACTGGAATATTTTTAAGATAAACAAGCGAAAATCCGAGAAATAAGAAGAAATTATAAATCGGTCTGATGTTAGTTCCCATTTTCCGATTGCAACCTCTGTTCTCTGAGATTTTACTTCATACAATTCTTTGATTGTTTCAAAAGTTTTTTCTTGCCTATGTTCTTCAGTCAACACACAAAATTTTCATCCCATTTTTCAATCAAACTTCTATCCAGCTCTTTAGGAAGCGATATATAAATCGGTAATTTAAAGAATTGTGTAGAATCCAGATGAGTGCTGCAACTTTTTATCAACAATTTATGTGTTTATTTGAGTTTGCAGTTATTTATCGAGCTTCCTTGTGATTATAGGAGTCGTGGTCCTACGATCCTCTGAAAGTATATCAAAATAAATGATTTAATGTAAGATGTTGGGTCTTGTACACTTCTGACATTAGCTTGTCAAACTTGTAGTTTGCTGAAAGCTGTTTATTGTCGCAGTCATTGATTTTGAAACATTATCCTAGTATTACATTATCACAGTGTTCGTTTTACCGGAGCCCCCTAAATGCAAAAACGGAAAATTTTGCCTCTTTATAAGACCGAAATGTTCGTGTGTCGTTTTTATGAAAGGATTAAATTACTTTCGATTGTCCTACAAAAGTCTGATTCGAAACTACTTTCCAAAATAACAGGACAACGAATAATAATATTTTAGTTTGGTGTCTTCCTATCGGTTCAAAAGATTAATTGATTCCGGGATGCTAGATGTTCCCAATGTATTGCAAATATTTCGTTCATTAGAACAATCTGAATCCCAAAAATCTGACACGGTTGACGTGCACATTTTCTGATGTGTAGAAGTGTTTCAGGCATCACATTAGGCCGGTGACATCCAGTTAATTAAATGCATTATTCAGATAACGCGTGCAACAATTAAAATTCAAATCAAGATTCAAAGCAAAAAATTCCCGAGATCCAAATCTTGGCATTTCAAAAATCTCTAAATCTAAAGAAATCGCCCACAATCTATCATTGAAGTATAATTATGTTCCAATCCTAAAAGAAAGCGCATTCAATTAACGAAAACGATATTATTTAACAAAAATATTTAAGATTATATTCCTACTACTTCTAATATTGTTAACATTGCATGAAAAAACTTCTTAAGTTTTAGAGAAAAAAAATCTTCAATAAATTAAATTAAATCGATTCAGTTTCCCCCTTTTCCCAAAAGTGAAAAATTGAATTGATGAATTTAAGTTTGATGTTTAAGTTTAAGTTTAAGTTTGATTATTTGATGAATTTAAGTTTGTATGAATTTCAGATCCCGTACACCGGTGCCTCGATGAACCCAGCTCGCTCGTTTGGGCCGGCGCTTGTGATGGGGGGAGACGCCTGGACCCAGCACTGGGTGAGTGAGCAGTCGTTAACTTTTTGAGATAGCTAATAAAATTGAGTTAAATCTTGATTAAATTCAGATATTTAAATGAGAACATTGTTTTGTGAATTATTCAAATTTGTGGATTAGATATTTGTGATTTAGATATTGAGAACATTATTTTGTGAATTATTAACTTTGCCAGATCTACTGGGTGGGGCCTTTGTTTGGCAGTATCCTGGCCACCCTCCTTTACACGCTCGTGTTCAGGGAGAAGAAAATTCTGCTTGTGAGAGAAGAAGCGCCCGAGAACAACTGTGTTGACGAAGCCGAGCTCAAGATGATGAGCTAATGATTTCCTGCCACTCCAGTTGTTTCAAAAGTAATTTTCAACTGAAAAATTATTTTTAACTTTCAAATCAAGCGTCAAAAGTTTTGTTACTCTTTTCACAGATGTTATCAACCTCAAACTTCCCAAACCTTTCTATTAACTCCGTAAAATTGACTTATTACATTTATAATTAACTTATCCTTAATTTTGGATCCCCTGTGGTACGCCTATCAATTAGTGATTATTATGTTGGTTATTTTCCCATTAATTTTAAGCTAAGTAAAAAGGGTAATCAAAGGTCGTTGAATTTTTGTCGGGGCTCTAGATTATTGCACGTGTCGCCTTTGCTATCTATATAAGGCCTATCAATAACGTGGAATTTAACGCGGCTAATGAGACACAACTCATGACAAAAAACGATTAACTGCTTCTTTAAAATGAGTAATGTGGTTCAGGCAGATTAAAAATAGCTTTGATCTCCATAAGAATGTCGTATATCCTTGCCCATTATAATTCTCTCCACACATTACAATACATTATTCAATGCGATGTCTACGTTCTCTGATGCATTATGGCAAGCTAAAGATGCTAATTTTTTAACTTTGATTATCAAAGACAGGGATTCCCAAGATATGATGTCGAAAATTTATGTGAAATGTTCGATTAATAATTTCGCTTATGCTACTTGTGAAATGTGTTCTTTTTTTTTTAATTTTCTTCTAAAATTAATTTACCATTACAATTCGCAATGAAATTTTTAGAATTATTTTTTTGGATGTTTAAAATTTGTATTGCATGTAACAGAACGTGTTCAAGACAGATTTGCTGTACGGCTTTCTAATGCAAGGCAATAAAGATATAAAATCCTAATAGAATTTTTATTTTGGATTTGCGCTTATATACACGTGTGTACGAATAAACAGTATGGAGATGCAACAAACTGATTGGTATTCCAGGTAAAGACAAATCAATTTCTAGATTCTGTTGAATATAAATCATGAATTAGCAATTGCTAGCAACGGACCAATTGATATCATTAAGCAAGTCATGGACGCATTCTAGGTGATGATTAACATATTAAAACCGGTGATCAATTGATTAATTTTATTCTTTACGATATATTGAGGCTGGCACGTGGAAAAATATATTCCTACTTTTATTCAAGTCTATCGTCGAAACTCGGGAGGATATCATAAATATTTTTTGCGGTTCGTGTCTTCATATTCGAGGGGGACTCTATGATAGCTCAAGATATAAGATGAAAATTAATTAAAAATGATAAATAATTGGGGAAAACCATGTGAAATCAGCAATAAAATGTATTATTTCATTTTAAATTATTTATATCAATGATTTGTTTACAAGATAAAGTGAGGTGTTTGCAATAACAGAATTGTTGAACTGCGCTTATTTTCGGATGGCCAAAAATTTAAATTCGACTCAATACCACTAAATTGACCTGAATTTATTCAGAAGCCATGAAAAAGTATGGCACATTAACGTATGATATGCTATTGAGCCCCAATTGCACAACGAAAAGGTTCAAAAGCTCAACGTTATTCGTTTAAAATCATTGTTATAGAATGATTGCAGACAGCGAATGTCAGCGGTCGTCAGGAAGTGCCTTGTTGGGAGAGATCCGACTTGTTAACTACCATGGCATACGAGGTGGTCTATATCATGCTCATGGTAGTCTATATACAGGTGTAATTTCATAAACAATAATTCTTGCTGAATTTTTATTGTGTTAAAATATGTATATAATTTAGTCACATCTTGTTTCAACATATGAATGCGATTCAATCGCATTCAACTTCTCACACTTTTCTTAACTTCAAAAACGTTTCAGTAAACAATGCGTTTAATGACCATAACGAAATCATAAAATTGAATGACTTTCTTATTATTCCGAATAATTTTTTTTCGACACAGTGATCACCAAAGCACTAACTAATATATTTATTTAAAATAGCCTCAAAATTGTTTGTGGAAAAGTAGTTCTGAAGCGCTTGGTACTATGAAATACATCAATCCTAACATGTATGCTTAGCTACTCAACATTATGCTTAACATGCGTGCTTAGCTGTTGAACATGCACACAGAGCTTATGCTCATCTTGCAGCATACAAAATTATTAAGTAGTAAGGTTATATGATATCGTCCACAAATATTAGAGCGCAATACTGAAGGTTGAATGATATCGTCAATAACTATCGTGATGATATCGTAGTGACCTCATTAAAGTATACAAGTATACTCATGGTTTATACAAGGTCCCAGAAGGATTACTAGAATTTGATACAAGAAGCAACACCAGGGGCCACGGCTATAAACTAAAATAACTACTCTGCAACTTCTCCACGCGCCAACATTTCTTCTCGCTTCGAATCGCCGACATGTGGAACAGCCTCCCTGATGACATCGTTGGCGCTCCATGTATGAACGCGTTCAAGAACAGACTAGATAAAGCTATGGAAAAATATATGTTCAGACTTGAAATGCCTAGCACCATATCGAACCCGGTGGAAGTCTAGTAGATATTTCAAACTATCGTCAGTCCTGAAAGGATCCGGTCAAATGACACGATTTTAGATCTTCTACGAACAAGGCACGAAAAGTAAGGAATCGACGACAGGCCACATCAGGCCTACTCTTCAGCGCCGACATCACAATGTTATGTTATGTTGAATAGCAGAGAGCAATGTAGAAGGTTAGATGATGTTGTCAAGAAATACTAGAGCGCAATTCTGAAGGCTGAATGATTTTGGCATTAAATAGTAGAAGGCGAGGCTGAAGGAGCTGGATGATAGTTTCACCAAATGCTCTAGGGCGTAAGGCTGCATGCCCAGTGAAATGACAGTAAAAAGAGCTAGCAAAAAACAAAGAAAGTTGGATGATATTGGAAAATATTCGATACTCGGCACTGGAGTTGGAATTTCAACCGTCGAGAACATGGAGTTATTTCTGCCTTGTAATATTAATATTATGATATTATAATATTATGATTTGCAATATATAGATGATATTTTGATGCAGTGCAAATGATGACGTGATTATTATACATAATAAACGCTTAAAGGAAGTTGCATTATAATTCAAGCTTGATGCTAAACAAGAAGCTATCCTTCAGAGACTCATATAATGAGCGGAACAAGTTCTTTACTATACTTCTATTTCATTTGGGATTATTTCTCTATTCACTTAACAGCTTTGCCATATAGCAGCTACAATGTCTGGTATATCATCATAGTTGAAGGAAAAATTTCTGGCTCTTTTTCTTTTTGTTGGTTGCTAGGTAATTAAAGAATTATACTGATGCGGATTGTATCTCGAATGACTAATTTACGAACGTGATTAAACTTCCAATCTCAAGATGGGTGTTTGAGTGTTTCTGTTGAATTCTTTTTTAGATTTTTCAATTGAACTTCTCTCGATGTTTTAGATGAGTTAAAAACACTTCGTCGATAAATGTTAATTCAATGGATCAGATTATCCAATGATCTTCTGCTCTAATCCAAGGGTTTATTGATTATTTATCGGTCGACAGCCTAATTTCTGAAGATATAATATTTAAGATTAGGCCGATTATTCGCTGTCCGATTAAGATCAGGCTGAATATTCGCTTTAGGATTGTTGGAACTAAACTAACACAAGAGATGCCAGTGGCACCCAACAATGATGGTTTTAATATAAATCATAAACGGATCATTATTATAGAAGTACTTAAGAAGATGATCTAAGCGCGATGAATATCATTCTAAGTGGACTACACGGGCGCTTTCATGATGGATGCAGAAACAGATAACATGCATTTACGTTTTTTATAGCAATGAAAATTAGTTTGGTTGCGAAAATTTTAAGAGAAAGATAATATCTAATAAATTCACCATAATTTCATTGAAAACGATTCACTGATCAGCTCTAGCAATGGATGTTTGTTAATACAAGTTTGAGTACATATTTTGTTACATTTAATCTACAATTGCTATTTGAATGCGGATTGAGCAATGACTATAACGAATAGATCCGTCCCTGCACCTAAGATTACGTGCTAAACTCAATTTGAATCAAAAGATTAACCGTCGTACTCGGTTACCTTATGTGGTATGTTAGCTCAAAATATTAACTCAATGTTTGGGTTTAGTTAAAAAATAACTGTTTTTTTTTTCAAGTCAAACGTTCGTACACACTAATATACGAATGATACAATTTGCTAATTTTGCTTGCTTTAAGGCCGAACTGACTGTGAACAACATTTTGATAAGGAAGAGGCAAATTCATATGACATGCAGATATATCATATATTAGACAGGAATATTGCATGAAGTGCTACCTGGGAAAAAACAGATAAAATAGAGACATTAGCTGACGAATATAAAATTTTACTTCGTATGAATTATTGAAGTAACATTTATAAGCATAACTTTAATTAACTCCTGATCGTGACAAAATTTTTAAATTTGACATTTTCAAGCAAGAAAAAAGGTAACGTACACGGTGTTGTATGAAAAGTCATTATTCGTGTAACCGTAGAAAAAAGAGTCGATTTCAAAATGATGATTTGAAGTTCTTTAACGAGAAATAAAGAGACAATGTAGGATTTATGAAATGTTTTTCAGTGAAACATTTCATCTAAGCACATGTTCATCTAAGTGTTTCTTCAGTCATGATTTTGCACTCAAACGGAGCCTCGAGAGATAATCATTCGAATGACCTCGTTTCATTTTAATGACTCAGCGTCGCTCTGGAGAAGAGACGGTCCTTGTTGACATGCGAGCTTAGAGCTGCTCAACATTAAGCAAAACATGCGTGCTTAGCTGCTTAACATTGATCTTAATTCGCGTGCTTTAAGCTGTTCAACATCCAGATTAACATGCGTGATTAGCTGCTCAACATTATGCTTAACATGCGTGCTCAGCTGCTCAACATTGATCTAAATTCGTGTGCTTTAAGCTGTTCAACATCCAGATTAACATGCGTGCTTAGCTGCTCAACATTAAGCAAAACATGCGTGCTTAGCTGCTCAACATTGATCTTAATTCGGGTGCCTTAAGCTGTTCAACATCCAGATTAACAGTAAGCTGTTCGACATCCAGCTTAACATGCGTGCTTAGCTGTTGAATATTAAGCAAAAAAATCGTGCTTAGCTGCTTAACATTAGGCTTAACATGCGTGCTTAGTTGCTGAACATGCACACAGTGCTAATGCTCATCTTGCAGCATAGAAAAATTATATATTCATTTAAATTCATTATAATCAGCGGGGTACGTCAAGTCAAGGTCCAAATTACAGGGTACGATTAGCCGTCGACATCGCACACAAGAAAGTCTTACATGAAATGCAGATTTCAGTGGAGACAATTTTAATGGAGTTGCCCCTGTAGGTCTGTTTCACTGTCTTGTACGAATAGATTTAAGGAGGGAAGATGTCTAATCATTTGGTTTAATTTTTTTTTTTGGAGGGAAAACGTGTAAAATTTTCTCCTATATTGGACTAAATAACAATCCGGAAGCCGAAGTATCAACGAACAGATGACTTTTATAGCAAACATTCTGAGATTGTATTAAACGGTTATTTTTTTCCGCGGCATAAAGATAAAAATATAACTCAGTACTCACTGCAGTGAGTGACAGAGAGCGCATTTTCTCGTCGACGAAAACGTGAAGTCACAGATCATACAGGAATGATAAACGCGCTGTACCAACTAGACAGAATATGAGGGACATTCACGCAAGCCGCACGATTTGTTTAAAGAAGACAGAAGGAAGCGTTGACTGAATCGTGATGACGTACGACAAACATTTCCTTGTATCACGATGCTCAGTCGTCACTGTTGGTAAACAGACTACTTCTTCTGGTGCAGTGAACCAATTAAAAACTTGGTCAACATCGATAAAATTCCTTCTGCTTGCTTTGCTGATTTTGAAAATAACTCGATTTCAAGCTGTCGTCATTAGCGGAATGTATTGTTGAGAACAGAGTTTGGAAATCACTAAAATAGCTTGGAAAATTATGTAGCCATCATGATTACTTGGTAAAAAGGCCAAGGTACCACTTTAAATATGAATATGTTGATAACGAATAGGGTGAGAATAAGTTTTTCAAAACAAAATTTTCGGTTTAAAATTAGAGAAACTTTTCACACGAAGTAATTTATCATTTCATTGACTTCTAATTCGCTTGTTGCTGTCCTTGACCAGCAACGAAATGCTGCGTCGTTATATTGCGACTGTGTTATGTATAAAAATATTTGAAAACTAGTAGGGTTTCATTATTTAATATCCGTTCATGTATAGATTTTGCTAATCGAACATTCCTAATGCTCGAAATTAATAAAAACAGTAATTTTTTAAATATTAGCCCACATTGGTCATACAGAAGACTTATTTTTAAATTCAACATTTTTCGTAAGCTTCGTTTTTATATCCATGAAGAAAAAGCAGAAGTCCGGCAACGAAGAACTGTGATTGGTCGAGACGCTGAGGACATTTCGAGGGTCATCGGCAGCATCAGCTGCGGCAGGCCCAGTATAAAAGCGAGGGACCGCCCCCCTCAAACTTAGTCGTGAGTGATCCTTGTCCTGGTGACCACGTGACATGTGCTGCAGCGGTGCCGTACCGACGATACGGTACAGCGCTGTGCTTTAATTAATGCAGATAAAGGGTACAGCGTTGCACTGCACAGGTATGAGAATACATTTTGTATTGAGGCAATTGACCTCTAAATCTTAACTGTCGACCTTCAAATGGGGTGAAAAGCACTGTAATAAATCTATGATTAACTGCATCTAAGATATGATGCAGTGCACCTATAAGGCTAAAAAGTACTGCACCTGAACTGTGGTGCATTGCACTGAAGTTGTGGTGCAATGCATCTGAACTCACTGCAATAAATCTATGATCTAAAATATGATGCAGTCACTGCATCTAAAATATGATGCATCTATGCATCAAACAAATGCATCATCAAAATATGATGCATCAAACTGCATCTAAAATATGATGCAGTCACCTGAACTACAATGTACTGTACCTAAGTTATGGTGCATTGTACTGAAGTTGTGCTGTGGTGCATTGCACTGAAGTTGTGGTGCAATGCATCTGAACTACGATGTACTGCACCTTAGCTGTGGTGCATTGTGCTAAAGTTGTGGTGCAGTGCACCTGAGCTACGCTGCACTGGTAGCCTGTGCATGCATCGCAGTGCACTTGGCAATGGTGCACTGCCACTGCACCATATCTGTGATGCAACAGGCAATCAATTAAAAGTTTTTGATCAACAATGCACCGAAGCTTCATATGCAACTCGCGGCAACTTAATAATTCTTTATAAATTATTTCATAATGAATGGTTAACAATGGATAAATCATAATAATTCATAATGAATAGATTGAGATCGTAATGAATAATTATCGAAAATTGTGCTCGTTGTTTCTGCAGATGTCTTAATAGACCAATTCCTTAATAGTTTATTAAAATTTATTCAAATAAAAATCTAGAAGTTCCCCCAGACATATTTATGATATTTGAAATCGATTTATTAGCTAGTTGATTTTTATCAATTGTTATTAATAAGAAATTCACTAAACAAGAGACGCTCATTATTGTTAACTCAACATTAATCCCTTCGTCATCAGCATTATCCTATTCCACCAGGATTAGGAATCCGACACATCAAGCACCAATAGCTTAATTTGAGTTTTATTGTAGGCAAAGAATTATACGAATTAACAACTTAGGTTTAAGGATAATACTCTAAATACTTACACCGAATATTCACGTATACTCATAGACTATTTATGCGCTGACAAACCGCCATTGTGGATACAAGATCTGAGGACCGTACTATTACAATAATTATTGGTGTTCATAAGTTACTGAGACTACAAATTAGTAAACTTCGATTTCGTGATTTCATCAGCTGTTTCGGCTGTTTTTTAGCTTGAAAAACTAGCTGTTTTTCGAGCTAAACTCGCCTATCGCGATCCATAGATTGCCCTCTACGTGTACTTAGGATGCTGCGTATATAAGAGAATTTTTTATAGCATGATATGGATTTCCATTGAATATTTAAAGCAGTTTTAACCATTCAAACTTGATAAATTTAAGGAAAATTTAAAAAGTTGAATTTCAAACTACAATACTAGAGAAATAGAGTCGTCATTTACCGCCGTTGCGCTGGAATTTAGCTACCTTGAATGCTTATATAATTCAAAGATTTGCTGGAAGACTCTAAAAATAATTTTAATAGCAGAGTACAGAAAAACTACGAAACTTGAGCATCCGAACTTGAATGGTTTCAATGCTTCAAGTTTGTACATTTGAATAAAATTCTAAAAAATGCAAAAAAAATAGAAAAATAACATTTTCAAGTGTTGCAGTGGAAACTGCATTTCCAGCACGAAGTACGACAGTGTATGTTTTTTTTTTACCGGTAGATAGCAGATACGATTTAATTCCCCTTTTCTTTGAATTCTAAAGCTAAATTTGGTTGAATTTCGTTCTAAATAGAGCTTATGAAAACTTCGAAACTTCGAAAACTTGTTGAATGAATAAATGTAAACACCGTGCAGAACAACAAAATCGAAAATAATCTCACTACCATTACCGAAGTATGAGTTAAATACAATATCCTTGATACATTTGCAATTTCTAAACAATCTCCTCAAGGTTTTCCATGACTCACTTTGACCAAGAGCTGAACACTTGCGCTACAGGTGTGACCTACTAGTTAGCTTACCTGTACAGTGTACTCATGACCTAGCTCTCTTCATGCTCTCTTCATGCTCTTCATGTTCTATTCATGCTCTCTTCATGCTCTTCATGCTCATCGTGCTCTTCATGCTCTTTATGCTCTCTTCATGGTCATCGTGCTCTTCATGCTCTTTATGCTCTCTTCATGGTCATCGTGCTCTTCATGCTCTTTATGCTCTCTTCATGGTCATCGTGCTTTTCGTGCTCTCATTATGTTCTTTATGCTCTTCATGCTCTTCGTGCTCTCTTTCGTCCTTTATGCCATATTTTGGCTCTTCATGTGTTATCATATGAACCAAAAATTTAAAAGTATAGAAACCGTACTGTGTGCGAAAATGCCATGGATTAAAATCTTTATTTTTTCAGTTTGCCCCTCGGTTTTTTCTCTTCGCAAATTGGGAATTCAATCATCAAATTATTTCAACATTTTTGATAAAAGTTATTGAGTTTAGGGGCATTTAGAATATTAAAATGAAGGCAGCTCACATGCCTGTAATTTTGATGTAATCTTGAAACGAATAAATTCATGGCTCTGACATGGTAAAAATTTGCCTAAATATCAGCAATAAATTAAAATAGTCGATATTCAATAACAGGGAGCAAGCAATTTGCTTGTGTTACTAACTATAAAAACCACCCAGCACACAAAGATTAAAATACATTTATTTGAACTTCACAAAGTAAAATGCTGAAAATATCAGACGGCGGTAAAAATTTTCCACGGTTTATACATTTACAGCGGCGATACTTTGTTGACATGCATAAAAATGGCTATCGTGATACACAATAACTTAATTTAATTTGGAAACAATAAATAAATTTGCACTTGGATGGATTATTTCTGGCAAGTGAATGTTCGAAGGTTGTCAGCTGATTTTTTAAATGTCAAAAAAGAGTCAACTACTAACTTTATTTTTGTGCAGTAAGCTAAAATAAAACACAAGGGGCCATATATAACTATAGAAATCAGTTTAAAAACTTTCTTACGCATGAAGATTTCTTATAACAGTTTTCGAAAAGTTAACAATATAAGTTTTTACAATTTCTATAGCGAGCTCATAGAAATGAATCGATTTTGTTTTTCATACTGGACGTGGATACTCTGTAACTTCCCTTTATGCTATCGAGGAAATATTTGGGAAATGCACAGAAATATGTATATGTAATTTATACATATTTCTTTATACATATTTANTCACCATTAAATTCACACGTTTTTTATGTTACAATTTTGGCAATGACTCATCCAAATTAAACCTTGGTTCCTTCCGTATCATTTTTAATTAATTATTTAAAGAATGAAGACGTTGTGGGCATTCAAAAAGTTTCGTAGTTAGGGGAGCTGAAAAATGTAATCGTACTTTTAACTAACACTTTATTGTATACTATTATTATTTAAACAATTTAAAGATTTTCGTCCAAAAAACCTTACAATTTTGTTAGTAACTCTAAATTGAATTATTTTTTCATAATTTTAGAGTTTGAATAAATACAGCAGTAAACGTTGTATGAATGGGCTTTCAATTATATATAGAATTATCTCACCTATGTAATTTTTTTGCCCATAAGATAATACAATATCCTTCTTGTTTATTGCACAGAAGATAATGCCAAATCTGTATTGAGATTTGCACATAATATGATACCAAGTCTTTCTAGTGCAATACACTTAAGATAATACCTAATTTTGTTGAGGCATTGCACATAAAAACCTTTAAATAATCACTTTCAAAACATTTTGACCATTCAAGTATCACAAGTATCATCAAAAACACCAAAGGAATTTCGAATAATATTTGACCTATGATTCATTCATCATCAAGCATCAAGGGAGTCGAGGTAAATTTTTTTCATAACGTTAATAAATTTCTCAAATATCAAAAAGTGTAGACGAAACATTTCATAACATTTACACTTCCTATAAGAATCAGAGAATTCTACAAAAATAGTTTTCATAACATTTGCACTTCCTTCAAGAAGCAGAGTGTGCTTGAAAAATAGTTTTCATAACATTTGCACTTCCTTCATGAATCAGAGTGTGCTTGAAAAATAGTTTTCATAACATTTTCACTTCCTTCAAGAATCGGAGTCTAGAAAAATAGTTTTCATAACATTTCTCACTCATGCGATTTGTTTAGGAATGCGAGATGATGGCACTGCATTTCAGAGCCACGCATTGTTTAAAAAGATGCCACGCGCGACCAAGGCTCACGCTTGCGTACATGCCTGACGTTGCGTACAGTGACCATGACGTATGATGTTGAGTTTTTCATCAGGGCATTCTTTCATTCATGCATTTCATTCAGTCTTAAGTATTTCATTCTCTTTATAATATATCCATCTTATAATAATGTTGTGTACTCGACTGTAAAGCGGACTGCTGAAGTGGTAGTGACTATTTGAATTATTGAAATACGTTCAATAATTCAAAATGTTACAATTTTTTATAAACTTGTTGTCGGTTAAAAAATTTTTGATGAGCGTGATTTGATGAATGGAGGAATATCGACGAGTAAAAATTTTAGGTAGTAAGATAGGGTTTTTTCGTATTTAATAAATTCGCAATATAATCGTGATGAAATCGGTCCGTCTAACGATGAATTAATGGGCGATATAAACAAAAATACATAGCGTTTCAATATGTATATCAAGTATATTTTTAGCCGCATTTATAATAATAATGTACAATTTGTAACCCGAATAATACAGTATGAAAATGCAATGCTGAACCATTGCATGTTTATTAAGAAAATTTATGTCTGATGTTTGAAGGTTATGAAATGCTGTACGAAAAACATGTTTGAAGTGTAAATAGATCTTACTTGCTATACAACAGTATACATAGAATAAAGGAAATCAAGGTAGTATTCATAGCTGCGATGTAAACCTCATGTACTGCAGTTCAGCGGATGTGCACTTACTATGTACGG